TCCCCATCCCTTCTCCATCCCTTCCCTATCCCTCCCGCCGCTGGCCGGGGCGGCACCGGGCTCTGCCGGGCTCCGGGCTTTGGAGGGCGGGCGGCAGCGGGAAGCGGAGCGGAAGGAGCCGAGCCCCGCCGTCCAGGCGTGCTGTGCCTGGAGCTGCACCAGGCCGGGCTCCGCATCCCGCACATCCCCATGGAAACCCCGGCTCCGCCTCCCCGCCTCGCACCCGCGCACGGTTGTAGGTCACTGGTGGCCATGCGGGTGCAGGGGGACAGGGGGGCTGTTCTAGGGGGGCTCCCCGACACCCAGGAGCATCTGCTGAGGTTGCCAAAGCTGCACARGGAGGGATTGAGCCATCCACCCCACTCCGCAGCATCAGGAATGCCCAGCAGCATCCTCAGGCAGCATCCCCAGGCAGCATCCCCCGGAACATCCCCCAGAACATCCCCGGGCAGCAGCCGTGCGCCTCCGGATCCAGCCCCGGGAGCATCTCTGACCCCCCGTTCCAGCCTCTCGATSGAGCCCGGGGTGCGTGGGGTGCCCCACTACGGGGGGCTGCAGATGCGGGATCTCCCCCACACCGGTTCTGCTTGTCTTGCCTCCTCTGCTCTCCCCTCCCAGCACGAGTCCTCTGAATGCTCCATTTGAAGCTAATTCCGGCTGAAATCTGGTTTGCTTTCCAACGTTGCTGCTTTAAATTGGAGAGATTGACCTTGTAGCGGGAGGTGACATGCAGATGCACATCAGCARCCCGTCAGAGCGGCGGCGGGGGCTGGGGGGGTGCGGAGCCGCCTCGGGGACAGGCCAACTATTTTATGAGTAATTTAATATCTGGAACACAGACTTTTCATTCCCAGAGATCTGCTGGGGAAAGAAAGAGCCTTTCTGCAGCCCCGCGAAGGCTGTTCCTCATAAGAAGGCAGAGCAGAGAAAAAAAAAAAAAAGGCTGGGATTTAACTCCTTGGTGGCCAGCCAGAGCAGAGCCTCCCGGCTCCCCGTCCCTGCAGAGAGCCAGGAAAAGCAGGAATTCCCTGCACAGCTCCAAGTGGGASACCAGCCAGGCTGTGATGCTCCAGGCAAAAGAAGCAATTGCTCCTTCCCATTCAAATTCCAACGCAAGCCTGAGTGTGGATGAGGGAACAAACTTATCAACGGTCCTGAAGTGAGATTTGGGGTAGGAGCTTGTGTCTGAACCCCCTTCCCTCTCCCAGACTGGTTCCAGTTGTGTCAAACTCCTCAGGAGTCTCTCTGGGGCTGGGACCACCCTTAGTGCACCCAGGGGATCCGCACAGGGAGCTCCTGCCCTGCTGACAATGAAGCCACCGTGTGTGACCACAGTGTCCCYCCAAGCTGAGCTGGCACTGCTGTGCCCCGTTGGTGTGTGTGACACCCCAGCAAACACAGCCCAGTGCCCTGCCCAGTGATGCCTCTGCCAGAGCATTCCAGCACCCTGGCACAGTTCTGAACCCACATGGGGATTCCCATACAGCTCCTGCTGGAAATTACAGCTTGGAGAAGGGGATAGAAGGAAGAACACACCAAATCCCCGAATATTTCACTGCACAGTCCAAGGGTGGAGGAGATGGTGGGGCAAAGCCACCAGCCTGGCAGCAAATGAGGCTCAGAGCTGGGGGGCTGAAGGGCAGGAAAAGCTCGTGGGCTGTTCAGGAGGGAGCTGCTGCCAAGGGAAAAGCCTCCCCACACCGAGGAGCAGCTCATGAGAAGAGGGAGAAGGGCAGTTCGGAGGGGCTGGCAGGGGGGGCTGCTCCAGGACACCCGGCTGGGCASCCTGGCTGTGGCTGGGGCTGCCAGCAAGGAGCAGGGCCATGCAAGGATGGGTTAGGGAGGGCTYTTCCTTGGGTACCAGGTACTGGGCACTCCTGGGCTCGGAGCAAACGCCTCTGCAAGCTCCCTGTTGCTCGCTGGTGGTGTCAGACCAGACTGGCACTGACATCCCCGGCTCCATCTCACTGACCAGCAGCACGGCTGTGCTTTGATTCCCCCAGGTGAGGAGGAAAAGAGGAGGAGTGAACCGGGCTAATCCCGGCCTCCGCCTCCTCCCAGACCCCGTGGGCAGTGGGGAGCCGCCCCACTGCCGGGCCCCGGTGCTGTGCCCGCTCAGCCAGCAGGATGAGGATGCTGCTGCTGCCCGGGGAGGGCTGAGCCAGTCTCCAGTGACACCTGCCGGCAAATCACCCCGGACAGGAACCTCCGAGCAGCCCCCAAGCTGGTGACAGCAGCCTCAGTCACTGCCCTGCACCGGGGCAAGGACAACAGAACTGGGGGCTTGGACACACGGGCACACCTGGAGAGCTCAGTGGTGATGCTCCATAAAATCCTGTCCACATCCCACTCATCTCCCCGAGAACTTTAATCATCATCCTTCCCATCCAGCTCCTTTCAAATCCCAGACTCCCCCAAAAGTTCCTGAGTGCCCCATTGTGGCAGTATAGACAGAAATAATGAGCAAGACACAAATAATGAGCAAAAACACAGACAGATAGATACACACTTACTACTTCATTATGGGGCTGAGCTCTTTTTATTTATTTAGTAACAGGTGTATACTAAGTCTTTCACATAAATGGCAACTATTTATTGGTTAATTAGCAGCCCCTTCTCTACTTATTCGCATATGATTGCTGTGTTGTAAAAGCTGTGGTGTTAATTCTCACGATTTTGCTCTGTCTTTGGTATTTGCTTTATTTAACTTTGCTCTTTTTTTAACATTCTTCTTTTCTTTTCTTACAGACAGTCAAGGTAGCTCAATCGCATTGTTTTGGTAACGTTTGTTTCTGTCTCGTTCTCCTTTATCCAGATTTTCAGACTCTCTTTTGTTTTTCTAGATGTCAGGGGTTTACTATTATCAGTTGAATTTTAGGTTCAGACCTTGCAAGGCCGTAATGCCGGCTTTTGTCCTCCACACCCCATGTCCACCTCCAAGGGCTGGGGGCTGTGGTGACCCACCCACAGGGGTGCAATGCTGGGTTGTCATTTGTCACCTGCCCTGGGGTCAGGGATCTCCTTGGACTCCTCAGCTTTAATTCATCTGGGCATCCTCATCCTGATGAGGAGCAGCCAGGGAGGGCTTGGCTGTGCTCCAAGATGTGCTGGTTCTGTGCTGGGGTTTGGAGGCTGCAGTGGAGCACCCACCCCCAATAGCAGCATGGAGCTGCCTGTCCCACCTTATCACAAACTTCTGTGGGTATTTCTGTCACCGTCACCCCAAAAAAGGTCTAAGAGAGGTTGGTGTCCCCAGATCCTGCCACTGCCAAGACTCTCCAGTACAGCACATTCCCCAGCACCTCCCACCTACCACCAGTACCCATTGGCCCCATTTTTCCCATGATGTGTCCTKCCCCCTGCTAGAGGTCGAGCTGCTTCTCCCTGTTTTCCTAACCTGGGCTGGCACCCTCTGGGTGGCTCTGGAGGGAGATCCTCAGCCTCATCTGCAGCAGGAACTGCGCAACTTGTCTGGCTCTGCTCAGCAGTAATGAGAACCAATRCCCTGGGTATGTGAACATTATTTGGGGGGAAAAGGCAAATCATAGGCAGAAAGACCAATAGTGCGAAGAGTGGTCATTTATTGTGCACGAATGGCAGCRATGTGCTTTGAGCACCAACTTGGGAGCAAAGGGCTTGCTCAGCTCTGCAGGCAGTGCCCAGATGGGCTGCAGGCACAGCTCCAGCAGGCTAAGCCTCTGGGAAGATGAGGAAACCAGTGAAGATGCTGTCAGACCCTTCCAGCCCCATCAGGGAGTTCTTGTCCGTTGGCTCCAGCCAGACAGACTCATCCATGGCCACCTTGAGGACCACGCCGCCCGTGGTCACCTGGAAACTGCCCTGCACGAAGTCACAGAAGGTCACCACCTTGTCACCCTTGCTGCCACCGCGTCCCTTTTTGATGTTGACGCASAGGTTGCCGCGGGAGGTGGCGTGGTAGGTGAAGTAGTAGGTGCCGGGCACCCGGCAGGTGAAGCGGCCGTAGCGGTTCTCGTAGTGGCCGCCCTCGYTGGCGATGATGCGGTCGAAGCGGACGGGCTGCTCCCGGCGGGGGTAGGTGCTGATGCTCCTGGCGGCCGAGAACGCGGACTTGGAGGTGATCTTGTAGTCCCCAGGCAACCCCACGGGGCCGGGAAATCCGTTGGGACCTGGTAGGCCACTTAGGCCTGGGGGGCCTGGGGGTCCAGCCTTCCCGGGCTGTCCCGGCTCTCCTGGGTCTCCCTTCTGCCCTGGTTCTGCTGTGCTCTGGCCAGGGGGTCCTGGGAAGCAGGAGGAACAGTCACGGTGGGCACAGCCCAGCCCCACTTGTCTGCAGAGGGGGCACGGGGGAGGAAACTGCTGGGTGTGGGTCACTGGAGACCTTGCAGGTGTGACACACCTTTCTGTCATCACCCTCCCTCCCTCCTTCCCTCCCCACCTTCCTCAGGGTGCTCCACCACCTCCCACCCAGACAAAACCTCAAAGGAACTGTTGGAGTTGGGTTCCTTTCCCAGGACTATGTGCCTGGCACCGTCTTTTCTGGTTCTTGGCATTCACAAGACAACATTTTCCCCACCTGCAGCCTGTSCCTTACCTTGGTCACCCTTTGGGCCGTTCTGGCCATCCCTGCCATCGCTGCCAGGCTGTCCTGGCAGTCCCGGGATGCCTGGGACGGTGCCGTAGGTCCTGCAGAGCGTGGCGCTGGCCAGCTGCCCTCCAGCCAGGCACACCAGCATGGCCCACGCCGTCCACATCTGTGGGAGCATGGAACAGTGTCAGGGGGATTGCCTGGGTGGTGAGAGGGCTGGGGAAGGCCCTCTGTGCTGCTCTCAAAGATGGTGACTGCAAGAACGTTGGATAATACCATCAGGGAGGGAAAACATCCCACTGCAGAGCCAAATCCGCTCTCCTGATGGCCCTGGAGCAAAGGATGAGTCCCCTTGGGCAAGGCAGGGCTTGTTAGTCACTGTTAAGCCCCCCAGTTTACAAGTGCCCACAGTTTCAGCCCCAGAATATTTGGGACAGGTTATCTCAAAGATCTGATGTCCAGTGTGGCCATGTGGCTCCCCTGGGGGAGAAATTCCCATCTCATCTCAGGACCACACCTGCAGCGTAAAATTTTGCCCCAGACAGAGCAGTTTCACCATCTGCAAGGGAATGGCTCTTGCCTTTCCCCAGCAGATCTGAGGGACAATGCTCGAAGATGGCAATGAGTGCCCCAAACTCCCCCCTGCACCCCACAGGCTCCCCTCGTGTTGTGCCACACGTCTGCTCCATCCCAGAGGCATTTCTGTGTCTAAGGAGCCTTACTGGGACAGTCACCTGGGCTTCCATCCCAGGGGCTCCCCCTGGTTCCTGCACTCCCTCCCTCCCTCCTTCCCCCAGCTCTGGTGGGCTCATGTGGATGAGCAGTGGGTGTTTGGGGGCTGTTTCTGGGCATCACATCACCCCAGCCACCACTGCCCCATCTCAGGTACTTTCCTAGTGCTGAAACTCAGGCACCAGCAGGATAAAGGGTGCTGAGTCAGATCCTCCAGCCACAGCAGCTCCGATTTGGCTGTGGCAGGCACAAGGATCAATCTGCAAGTTCCCAGCCCAGGTCCATCAGAAGACAAGGGTTTCTCAGGGCAGGAGAGCATTTCCAGCACACCTTTCAGACTGGTGCCCAGTCCCTGATCACCCCTGTGGAACTTTGCCATCTCTGCTTTTATTTTTTCCTTCTTCCAGGTGGAGCAGGAGGGGTCTGGGTCCCATCAGGGATCTCCACCACCCCCAGCCCAGCATCCCCAGCCTCCTATTCCTGCTCTGCCCCAAGGCACAGGGCAGTGCCAGCAATGCAGGTGACTGTCACCCTGCCAGGGCTGGGCTCCTGCTTTGGGCTCAGTGTTGCTCTTACCTTGAGCTCCTTGCTGCTCGGTGCAGAGATGGAGCCGGACACACCAGAGTCCTTCTCGGAAATGCCCGTGAGGAGAAACAGAAGTTTGCTGCAAGGGTTATTGTGAAAGGATATGAGACACATCCCCTTTTTATCTTTAACTCCTGCCCTTTTTCCCATGGCAGTTTCATATCCTCCACAAATGCTGCTGTCAGCTGAGTAGAACAAACCATCCCCAAATAGCACCCTGAGCCCCTCTGGCCACAGCCCTGCCCTGCAGGGTTCCTGGGTGCTGCTCMGGTGTGCTGGCTATGGGGAATGCTGCTGGGAGCTCCAGACAAGCTTGGGTTAACCCATCAGGGCTGCAGAAATGTGCATGCACTCAGCCAGCACCCCTCATGCTCCCAGCTCCGCAGCCCCAGGGGATGCTGCAGGGTCTCAGCATCCACCACTCTGACTCCATGCCCCAGACTCTCCTGAATGCTGTGCATTGGAAGGGATTTTACCCTGTGGGAAATGTGTTGCCAGTCCTGCTTTGGCTACTGCCTTGTGGAGGTGAAGCACAGACCGTTCAGAGAGGTGACCTCCTGCTCCACCCTGCCATGTGTGACACCAGGAGAAATCCCTGCTGGGCTTTGGTGGGCTCTGCAGCCTCCACAACCACCAGCTCCCTTGGGCTGGCTCAGGAAAGCTGGAGTGTTTCCCCTGTCCCATTCTGGTAGGGACCCCAGGAGTGTCCCACCCTCGATGTTGGGGTTTGCTGTGCAGCCTGTGCCCCTCTGCAGCTCTGCAGGGAAGGGGACTATCGGGGCTCTGCTCAGAGGAGCCTCGGTGCCCCCTTGGCAGGGGCAGTGTGGGGATACAGGAACCATCCCATTCCTGCTGCAGCTGGGGCTCCCATCCCTGTGCAAAGCCAGTGTGGGTGGGTGTGAAGATCTCTGATGCTCAGCACAGCCCAGCCAGGGCTTGGGGACACGCTGATGGCACGTAGACATGGCCACATGTCACATGCATGCATGTGCACACAATGGAGAGGTAGGACACGGAGGAAACACACAACACTGGGTGCACTGGGGAAGATTTTATTGACACTTTCCACAGCCAGGTCATGGCAAAGGGGGTGCTGCAGCCTATGCCAGGACACCTGGTTGAACCTGGGGCAGCTCAGGTGAGGTGGGGAGAGAGGCAGAGAGACCTCTGAGGTCGTGTGGGGCTATCAGGAGATGCAAATGGCAGTGCCAGCAGGACCAGGAGCTCGGCACCATTGCTCTGGGTGCAGATGCATCCAGATGTGCCTGTACCCCTGTGCAGCAGCTGCCAGTGCTCAGCCCCAGACTGAGGGGTGAGTCTGGCTGCTGGGGGTGACTCCATCACCAAAGCTTCCCTCCCTGAGGAGAAACTGGGAGCATCAGAAGCAGTGGGCAGCGTGTTCAGGGCAGGTAGAAGCGGTCGGGGTGCTGGGGTGGGCTCTGCCCATCCTCTAGTCCGGGAAGAGCAGGAACCCTGAGAAGATGCTGTCAGAGTTGGCGATGCCCACCATGCCGTTGTAGTCATTGACACCCAGCCAGACCTCATCCTGAGCCGCCAGGCGCAGCAGCGTGCTCCCCGAGCTGACCTGCATGGCGTTGGTCTTGTGGTCGCAGAAGCTGGCCATCTTCCTCTGGTTCTTGTGCAGGATGACGCACAGGTTGGCTGTGTGTGAGCTGTGGAACACAAAGTAGTAGAGCCCCGGGAGCCTGCAGGTGAACTTGCCTGTGGTGGTGTCGTAGTCACCRTTGGTGTTGGTGATGGCGTTGTTGAACACCACGGGCACGTTCTTGGTGGGATATTGGCTGGTTTGCCTGGTCACAGAGAACGCTGAGCGTGGCTTCTGCCTCAGGTTGCCYGGCAGCCCCGGGGCTCCAGGCAGACCCGGGAACCCAGGGTCTCCCACTAGACCAGGGTCCCCAGGAGGGCCAYGCTTGCCTGGAGCACCTTCCATGCCTCTTTCTCCTTTCATGCCCTTGGGCCCTTTCAGGGTAGAAGCTGGGATACCTGTGGGGTGTGGAGGGTGAAAGGGAGTCAGTGTCGAGGGCAGAATGTGGGAAGAGGCCCCTCCAGCCCCTTCCCTCGGGGAGGAGAGTGCTGCTGCCTCTCTCCACCTGACCACGGAGGATGCTCCCCACAGCCTGCAAACCATGGCAAGCTGGCCATGGAGGGCTCTGTGTTCCCTGCAGCAGCCCGTGAAGTTCTCCCCTTGCTCACTCACCTGGCTCCCCTTTGACTCCCTTCAGCCCATCCCGGCCATCCCTCCCGGGCATCCCCGGCATGCCTGGCAGGCCTGGAGCTCCGTAGCAGCTGTGAGAGTCTCCTACTGTCTGAGCTCCAGCACAGCTCACATTCAGGAGGAGGAGGGTGAGGGCCAAGCAGAGCTGCTCCTGGAGTCTCTTCTCCATTTTGGTGCTCTGTGGTATGGAAAGAGAAAGAAAAGAAAGAGAAAGAAAGAAAGGAGCTGGAGTGAGGGGCCAAGCAGGGTGGCTCCCAGGACATGGAGTGAAGAAGGCTGGTGACACCACGAGCACCTGGCTGCCATGGGTGTGTCCTTGATGTCCCACCCATACACACTGCAGGCATTGGGGAGCTGGATATGTGCAGATGGGCCCTGGGCTCATCTCCAGCCCTGATGGCACAGGGTGGGTCGGGCTTTCAGTCTGGAGTGAGCCATGAGGTTTGTGGTGCCYATGGCCAGTCCCAAGCCCATGGCCAGTCCCAAACCGAGCCCAGGGTCCCCAAACCCTGGAGATGCACAGGCCACTGCAGATGGTCACCCCGTGCTGCGCTGAAGCCAAAGCTCCCTGCACACAGCTGATGTCTCTCCTCCTCCAGCAGCTGCCCTGGCTCTGCCCACCGCAGCAATCCTTCCACCAGCTGGTGTATCCCATCTCCATGACATGTGTGCAGCCTGGCAGTGCTCCTCCCTCTCCTCTCCCATCCCTATCCTCCTCTCATTTTCCCCCTCTCCAGCTCTGTACTGTGTTGCTGGACCCCCAGTCCCACCCTTGAGACCCAGACCCTGCAGCAGCTCTTACCTCTGGTGGAGCAGGSAGGGGAGCCGTGCTGCTGCTCCCGCTGGCCGTGCGGTCACTGCCGGCACAGTGCCGTGGGGGCGGCTCCCTGACACCTCCAGGAGGAAGTCACAGGGTCAGGAGAGGGCAAAGTGCCCTCGGAAGAACAGAACGTCCAGTTGTCCCCACCTAATTTCACATCCTCCTGCCTGACGGGCTCTGCTGAGCCAGCACTTTGTTGGCTGCGCAGTGACATCTGTGCTGGTGCCCCTGCACCAGGAAGGGCTGGAAGGACAGAGCAGGACATCGAGGAGATGTGCCACAAACCCCCCAGCCACTGTGGGGAATAGGCCTTCCTAAATCTCCTGCTTCCCCTCTCCTGTTTCTGAGCACAAGGGCAGCTTGGCAGCAGAGCCTCGGGCCAGCTCTGGTGGGCTGGAGATGCCTGTGGCACTGACGGGCTGCAACGTGGCTGCCAGGCTCTGATGGAAGATGCTGCACCCCTAAATGGAGAATGTTTCCCCTTGAGAGTTTCTGATATGCACCTTCCCCATGCCCCACCAGTTCTGCTGGATGCTGGACTTGGTGAGGCCCTAAGATCCCCCCCTGGGCTGTTGCTCCTCACAGGTGACC